ACACCATCCCATCACCACCTGCAGCCCCGTCACTGCAGAGCGGGTACACGGACACTGACACCCATCGGGTCCCGTGGGATCACAAGGATGTGCTGGCTGAGGAGCAGACAGGCAGACCGACAGCACGGAGTGAGGGGGAAGCGTTGGCAGGGCCGTGTGAGATGCATGGCCCGGTGTGGTCACAAGAGCTCCTGGAGGACCACAGTCACGCAGAGCTGAAATCCTCCGAGCACCGAGGTCCCTTGGAGGCCCCATGGAGGATAGCTGGCCCAGCTGCTCAGCCCTGGCAGCCCGGCACAGGGCTAAGAGAGGCAGAGAGCCCTGGCCCCGTGGGGCACATGGGGAAAGGCCAGCGGAGCACCCCGGCAGCAGGCTCAGGCAGCCCTGCCCACGGCCACTGGGAAAAGGGATGAGTCAGTGCAGGAAGGCCACTCATGCACGGTGTGGGTGGAGCAGAGCAGCAATTTCTTCCCCAGGAGATTATATTATTTGCAGAAGTCCTTTTTATTTATTTCTTCTTATGGAGCACAGCAATTAGCTGCTCCTCAACTCCTCCGCACCTGGGGCTGCTACGTGTGGGAAGGGGACACTCGCCATTCCTCCCGCCGTGCTAGACAGGCACGGACGGCAGCACAACACGCAGCCAGGGCCAGGAGCTCCTCCTGGGACCGACGGGACACTGAGGGGCCAGGGCTCAACCACCCAGCCTCACCCCTCGGCCACAAGCCGCTCCCATCCGCACCCAAAATGCCACCACAGTCCAGAGCGTACGCGGGTGCTCTCACCTGCCTGTGCTGCACATCTCAGCTCTATCAACCACCATGCCGGCTGCGGCAGACAGCCGGGTACCGGTGTTGTCCCAGCTGCGTGCTGCCTTGCCTGGTACCGGCGTTCAGGCACAGATAAATGAACACGCCGTGAAGGCACTTGCTGAAAGGGCTGTTGGAAGCAGCGCTGCTCACAAGCTGTGCTGCTCTTTGGGAAGGGGACCAGGCTGAGGACAGCACCCAATTCACGCTGTGCCTTAACACTGGACTAAAATATTAGAGCTCGCTTCAATCAGCATCACAACAAGGGAGTGCGGCTCTCCTCCAGCGAGCAGCTCTGCTCTGAGAGAACAGAAAATCTGACAGATGTTGCCCAGGCAGGATCAGAAGGAAAGCAGAACTGTTCCAGGAAAGGTGACCTCAAGGAAAAGCTCCTCCTGTTGTCCTCTACACTCTGTCTCCTTGCTTGCAAGGACACAGGGAGAAGGATTATTTCCTGAAGCCTTCATAGCACACATCAGCTGTGCGGGGAGCTGACGGGCTGGGCGCTGCTCAGGGGGACTTTGCTACCTGGCAAAGGGTGATTCAAGTGACAGAAGGGCATAGGGAAGCATGGGTGTGCCCCCCATATGCTACCAGGAGGTGCTCACCCTGTGCGCACCGTGGGAAAGACGGCACGTCTCAGCCCCAGCACAGCCACCAGCCTGCAGGACAGATGGGGGGTTCTTGCTTTTGCATCCATCTCCTCCACGGTATATAGCGGAGTTCAGGACAATGCCGAGGAGCTGGGTGCTGCCCCTCGGGCAGGTCGCTCCTTACGCACGTGTTAGTCTCCAGCCAGGCAGCTCAGGAGCACATCAAGCTGCAGGGGCTGGAAGAGGGATGTCCCTGCAGTTCTGCCCCAGTTCTAGGCAGGGCTGCACACACAGCAGCACAGGTTCCCAGCCACCCCTCACCCTGCTGTCCTTCAGGGGAAATCCTGCTCCTCCAAGTAGCCTTCCCAACCCATGTCAAGTAGTGACTGCCAGATGATGGTTGGGTCACTTGCTGTAGAACTGGGACCTCCCATGGGCACCGTCCCTGCCGTGAGCTACAGAGACCATCCACTCCCTGGGGCTGGACACCACTGAGGTCCCCCGGGGAAGTCCTGCAGCCCCCAGCTCCCAGGGATGCTGCTCGCCGGAGGGGTGTGCTGCCATCTGCCTGCACTGCTCGGCAGCCTGCCTGCACCGCCATGCGCGGGGCGTGCAGCCCTGGGGCTGAGCTCTTCTCTGCCTGGACCCCTGGCCCAGCACATCACAGGGAGGAAGAGCTGTGTGGGGGGAGGCAGTTCTTCCTCTGTCCCATGTCCCCAACCGTCAGATTTTGCTGTCCTTATCATACCAGACACAACCTGTTTCACTTCCCCCAAATCACGTGGTCAGCTAGCCATCCTACCTGCAGCACCCCTCATCCCATTCAAACGTCTCCCAAAACTGTTCCTAATGTGTCTTCCTGCTAAATCCAACCAAGCATTCACATTTCCATCTCCTAAAACCCACCACTGGGTTTTAGTGGGTGGTGAGGCCCTGGCACAGGTTGCCCAGAGAAGCTGTGGCTGCCCCTGGCTCCCTGGCAGTGTTCAAGGCCAGGTTGGATGGGGCTTTGGGCAACCTGGGCTAGTGGAGGGTGTCCCTGCCCATGACAGGGGTGGGACTGGATGGGCTGGGAGGTCCCTTCCCACCCAAACCAGTCTGGGATTCTATGATACTGACTCCTCTGATGACACAGGCTACCATCCACACAAGGGAAGGTCTTCAGGGAAAACCACTGCTCCCCTCCCTAAAGCTGCAGGGATTCAACCAACACAGAGCTCTCATGGAGATCCCACCGTGTTTTTCTTGGACCCAACAGGGCTGCTGGTGCCACACAGGGACTCCAAAGCTGGGGGGGAGCGTGATACTTCCAGCACCGTCTCAGCCCAGCCCGTGGTCCCTCCAGCCCTCAGCCCCACGCACCCTGCCTGACCAGCGGCCTGCTCAGCACCTGCACACCTTTTCACACCTCCAATGACCCATGTCTTGACAGATCTAATTGGTTCCCTCATCACTAGCAAAACAGCTCCGGCACAGCTTCCATTCCTGCCTTTCACCCTGCTGGTTCTTCAGGCAAAGAGCTCTTCCACCATACGCTGTGTCATTGTAGGACCAGCCCCACCATCCTGGGCACTTCGCTTACACACCTGATGTCCAGTCATATAGGACTGGTTCCTGTCAAATCGCACGTTACAGGTCTGGACAGCCACCACATCAAGCAGGAGCCAGCTCAGAGCCAGAGGAAGGGCTGCCCTGCTGCTGGTGCAGGCAGCCGTGGTCGAGGGCGAGTGCCTTGGGCACTCATCCACCCACTCATCCCCATTCCCTCCGGAAAGCAACCAGGTCAGGGAGGCAGGGAAGGCATGCAGAGCTCTCCTCCACTGCATTTTCCCATCAATTCACAGTAGAATCAGGAGAGGCCAGGATAAATAGCAAAGGGGAAAAAATCAGTGGGGTTGTGAGGAGGAGAAACAGCTTTGAAACCCAGGGCACACACGCACGTCTGTTGGTGAACAGCAGTTGGCAGGCAGCAGCTGAGCAGGAGATCTTGTTCCCCAGCTCCTCCTTCACCTCCACTAACTGCAGAACAACCACAGATGCTGCTGGCTTAATTTCACGGACACAAGCCTTTGACATGGGCACCACGGGTCCTGTCCCAGCAGCCAGGTTGGATGTAGTGACCGTCTGCTCCCATGCCAAGCAAACCGAATAGGTTGCCTTGCAACAGCGCTTTGATTACCAAGACATCCGCAGGACACCCCATGCCTCAGTCTCACTTGCTCCTTACTCCATGGAGCACTGTACACCTGCTTTGCACCAGCGCACGCTCGGCACGTTTGGTGTGCATTCAGAGGACCCTTCCTAGGCTTGTCTCTCTGCAGCACCTCCCATGCTGCACCGCACGAGCAGAAACACAGGCTCGAGCCCCCCATCGCCCACCATGCGCCAAGTGGGAGAGAGGAGGTTCTGAGAGGCACTGGCAGTAACCAGGGCTGTTACTCGAGGGCCCAAACCCACCCAGCTGCTCGGTAACTTCAGCTGCGTGATGCACGTGCTGGTAGCTCAGCTTCCACCCACAACTTTCTGTACTGGTCAGCCAGCTCTGAGGGACCCTACCTGGTGGCACTGGTAAAACCAGCCGAAAGATGCTTTTACTGAGTGGTGACCTGAAAGGAACATGGAAAAAAAAAAAAAAATTGGTTTACTGCTGCCACAAAACAAAACCTGCTGTTTCCTTTCAGTACTGAAGCATGGGAAGGCTGGTGGAGTTAAGTCACTTAGAATTGGACTAGGACCCCTGACACGACAAGAGTTGTCTGGCCTTTTGAAGCAACAATAAATGTTTTGTAACTGAAGAAGCAAAGGAAGAGGTAGAAAAAAAATTAAAATCAAAGGTAACATTTTCTTTGGGAGTTTAAAAGAATCTTTGCAGGGAACGGTGGATAACAAGGAAGGTGGAACATCTTCTTGCTAATGCAGAAGAGCTCTTGACCTGCCTGCTTCTGCTGAGGAATAAAGTGAATGGGAGCCCCAGAAGGAACATTAGATCACACTGGTTATCGGTCTTGTTAAGAAAGTCAGTCCATTAAATGAACACACTTGGGCAGTGTGAACTTCCAGCAACGATGAACGTGCACAGGCCTCCCCAGTGAACTCTTGCTAATGAAATAAAGCCATTAGAGGCCCCGAGTGACCACACACCACAGCTGGGTGATGTGTTTAACAGGTCCCTGCTGGATTGCACATGGAAGGTCTCTCAGAAGCCTGTAAAGCTCACACCAGCGATCAGCAGACTCTCAAGAGATGCTTCTTTTGCATCCTGAAGTGGCTCTTTGAAAAACAAAACAAAAATACCACCAGGCAAGAGGCCGTGCTTACCACTGATGGAAGAATTGAGCCCACAGGCCACCCAGCACTTCTACTGCCTGAATTGTCTCCTCTCCCCAGTTGCTGCGAGGTCTTTCCAGCTCATCCCCGCTCCATCACCTCCTGCCCAGATGCCAGAATTCACTTCAGCAAGACTTGTGAATCTCTCAGATGCGGTCAGGCGTGCATGGTGTGAAGAGGCAGCGGGAGCCAGGCTGTACCCCGCGATCCTGCCCTGCTCTGGACCCACCGACCGCAGGGCTCCATGGAGAGAGCAACCCCCCTAGCAGAGGGGCCAACTCAGGGTCCCCTTGCTGCACACGTGGGTTCAGCTCACCTGCCGTTTAACCTGGTTCACCAGCTCACAGCAGTTTGAAGGGCTCAAGAACTTACATGAGAAGGAACAAGCACTATTGAGCGAATACTTACTAATGTAGCTACATAAAGTCCTCTAGCAAACCTTATTAAAAGAAAAATTTGCCTTCCTGTTACTGGGAACAGTTGACTTCTGCTTGGAGGGAACAGCCGTCCCTCAAATGCAGGTTATTGCAGAACTGCATGGTGCGAAGCCTGTTCTGCTGCTCTGTGTAGCAGGCAATACTGGGTGCTGGAGCAGCCACAGAATCCCAGACTGGTTGGGGTTGGAAGGGACCTGCGGAGATCATCTAGTCCAGCCCCCTGCCAGAGCAGGATCACCCAGAGCAGGGTGCACAGGATGGTGTCCAGGCGGGTTTGGAATCTCTCCAGAGAAGGAGACTCCACAACCTCTCTGGGCAGCCTGTCCCAGGGCTCGGTCACCCGCAGAGGGAAGAAGTTTTTCCTCGTGTTCAGATGGACCTTCCCATGTTCCAGTTTGTGCCCGTTGCCCCTTGTCCTGTCACTGGGCACCACTGAGAAGAGTCTGGCCCCTTCCTCTAGACACCCACCCTTTAGATATTGATAAGTGTTGATCAGATCCCCTCCCCGGCTTCTTTTCTCCAGACTAACCAGCCCCAGCTCTCTCAGCCTTTCCTCATACCAGAGATGCTCCAGGCCCCTCCTCATCCTTGCAGCCCTCCGCCAGCCCCTTTCCAGACCAACATGTGGCTGCAGGGCCTCAGCACGCGTGTGAAGCATCGCCTTCCCAGCCGGGATGGCCAGTATGGACTCGGGATACGTTGCCAGTGTCCAGTGATGAGGCAGCGCTCCCAGGGATGGATAACTGCCTGCTATAAACGATTCCTTGGCCTGACTGAAGCACAACTGTCTCCAGCTAGCTGCATTGGCCAGGCATGAACATTCTCTGCTGCCAACTACTTAAAATATAAGGCTGGATCAGGAAAATCAAGTTGTAATTTCTGCATACGTACTACATGAACAATATGCAATGCCAAACCTGTGAAGATGGAGCCACCCAGAGGTCCTTCTCCTTCACTGACAACCCCTTCTCTGCAAAGGAGCAGCTTTCTCGATCCAGACAAATTTTAATGGTAAAGTTTGTTTTAAAACACAGGAGGAAGGCTGTGCTCCTGCCAGTGATGCTCTCCTCACAGAAACCTTCACAGAAAAGGCAGAGCAAGTGGCCCCTGCCTCCCAGAGCACAAGTAAAGATATTTTTTGGGGGAAGCTGTTAATGATGTGAGTTTTTAAAGGACTGCTCCTGCAACATTAACTCACAAACTTCTTACCAGTTCAGTAAAGTTACGAGCAACTTTCACAGTAAGGGAAGAGTCCCACAGGTAACTTGTGCCACCGCTAACCTTCCAGCTACAGAATTAGCTTGGAGTATCCAACATAGGCTACTGAAAAACAATTAGCAGGATCTCCCACTATTTAAACAAAGATAGCTTCATTCAAAAACAAACAAACCCACAGGATGAAACAGGTCAGATTCTCAAGAAAATTCATGGAGATCCCATCCCAACAGACACGACCACCTCTTTTCTTGCTCAAGGGCAAAAAGAATTCCCAATTCTGTCCAGACAAAAGAAGCAGCTCTTGTTTCATGCAACATCTGATACCTCCAAAGCGACAACAAAACTGTGCCCACTTCAACACTGAGAGGGAACGTCTTTTCCACACCAGGCTTTTTCAGTAATATCATCCCTGATGTCCCTCATTTCTAAACCTCAGCAGCCTCCTGCGAGCTCTCAGCTACACCTGGGTTAAGCCTTCCCAGATGCCACCTGCTCCTCCTCACGCTTCTTCCAGCTGCGGGAGAAATCAGGGATTTTTGAATACAAAACAATGACCATTTCCTTTTTTTTAAAAAAAAAATATCTTTAAACTTGAAACTTGCCATCTGTATTACAGTTTACTATGATTTTTATACATTAAAGTAAATTTAATTACCTTTGTGCTGCCCTCTCATCCTAATGAATTCAGGCAGAGCTGGGGAGGAGAAGCAACTTTTGCTTTTAAAAAATCAACTTCTTCCAAAATAAATGTGTCTAAACCTGCCTTTGGGGAAAAAAAAAAAAGTGCTGAAATCTGCAGCACAGGACAGAACTAACTCCCCTTTTGGTGAGTCCTGCACATGCCCCAAGCAAACACTGGCCCCTGGCCACCAGCCCAACCCTGGGGCTTTGAGCAGCTCCGGGGGCCAGCGTGGCCAGGAGCCGCTCG